CATAAGATTCCCTGTAATTAGAGTTACAGATGGTTACGAGGCATGGTGTGGGTGTTGAGAATCAAATCAGGACCTCAGTCAGAGCAGACAATGTTCCTAACCACTGAGCCATCTCTCCAGCCTCTATTTTTTTTTCTTTCTTTGTTTTTTTAAAGACAAGGGCTTATATAGTAGCTTAGGCTAGCCTTGAACTAGCTATGTAGATGGGGATGACCTTGGACTAATTCTCCTTCCTTTACCTCCCAAGTGCTAAGATTCCAGGTGTGAACCATTTTACCAGGCTTGAGTATTTTTATTTATTTAATTAATTTTTATATCTCTCTGTGTATATCTGTCTGTCTGTGTCTATGTGTCTACAAATATCATGAGAATGGATGCCAGAGGACAGTGTCTGAATTCTCTCCCATCATGTGGATCCTGGGGATAGAACTCAAGTCATCAGAGTTGGCAGCAAGTGCTCTGCCTACTGAGCCATCCGGCCATCTGGATTGAGTATTTTTAACACCAAGCATCTGTTCAAAGATAGCGTCTTCAATCTGACATGAGATGCTTGTCAGCCATCAACAACAACTGAGGTAGAGAGATGGCAGGCTGCATAGTGATGAGAGCAGGTGATTTCCAACCCTTTGAAATTCTTTGTCTCCTCCAAGATGCCCAGACAGCTGTGTCTCAAGAGACCTTTATGGTCCAGCTTAAGGAAACGTGTGGATTATTTGGACTGGCAGGTGACAGAATGCCTCTCTTAGAAGAGTTAGAAATACCATGTATATAGTCTAAGGAGATCTGCAGTCTTACCTGGTAACGCTGGTTCCTTGTTCTATAAACTCCACGCTAGGGATAAAGTAAGCAATTACCAAATAAACCAGAGCTGTCTGATATTTCCCTCAGAGAAAAAAAGCCCAAGGTCCCGGCCAATCTATGAAACAGATCTTGTTGCAGCTTGAAAGGATTGTTGCGTGTCCAGAACTGCAGGCAGGGGCCTGCCAGGCTGACTAATGGCAGATAGCATCTGCAGCCTGGCTGGTCCCTGCCGGTGCCCTGTTATTACCATGCACTTAATGGCTTCGGATCTGCATATCTTCTAGTGAGCCCACGGCTCTGCCAAGGCAATGAGCCTGCTGGCTATAGAGTTCTACCCAGTGCCTTACAATCCAGTGCAAAGAAACGAACAACCCCGTGTAAGAGTTTGAGTCTGAAGTATTGCCTCCCGACTCACGTGTTTAAATACTTGGTTCCTAGATGCTAGGAATCAAGTTTCAGGGGGTCGTGGAAGCTCTGGTATGTAAGGCCTAGCTTGGAGAACTTATGTTACTAGAGAGGCCTTTGTATACTGTCACCCACCTCAGCTGACAGCTCTTTGCTTTCTGATCTACCATGATGTGAAGAATAGCCCCCATATGCCCCCACCACCAGAAAGTCCACTGAGTCTTCACAGATTGTATCTCTGAAACCGTGAGACAAAACAAATTCTTTCACTCTTAAGGTGTTACTCTTAGGTTTTTGGTCACAACAAGAAAAGGAAGTACTACACCTTATATTTACCAGGTGAGTCCCAGTAGTACCTACACAGGACTGTTCTTTCAGCTCAGTGCCCTTCAGAGAAGGGAAGAGGCCTACAGTTTCTCTAGGTTTATGTGGACTAGTACACCAACTGCTATCAACTGAGAAATGTCAAGCGGCTGTGGGCAGTGTGGGAATGGCAAAGCCAAGCAGGATGGGTCGTCTCTAAAGAGCTTGGGTCAACCGCAGGCCATTACTAACTCTTTAGGTCAAATTTACAACAGGTGATGCTACCTTGTATATGAGTCATGTACTTGTATATGAGTCTAAAATAATGTATAATTGAAGCAAAATTAGATTCTCATTTATTAGAAATTAGTCACTACATAGATATTAGTGGAATAATTTCATGGATAGTCCATTTTTCTATTCTGTTATACTGTATTTTTGTCATTAGTAGAAAAGCTGGTAAAGATTTAATAAATCCATATGGCCTTCAACCCAGGTCATCATGTAGAGCTTGCAAAACATACTGGACTATATAGCCATGACTGTAAGAAATCAGGCCACACACAGGGGTGCAGAGGAGGTGTCTAAAAGGTTCCTTCAGTGCATGGTATCAGCCATTTGTAAAAAATCAGAAACAGCAATGACTGACACAGGCTGTCAGTTCTCCCCAAGGTGATCTACAGAGTCAATTCAATCCAACTCAAAGCCCTCGAAAGCTGTTTTTGAATATTGACAAGTTGACACAGAAAGTGTATTTCTTCCCATTCAGAATAGTCAATTGGAGGAAGGCAGTGGGATTCAATCACCTAACTTTAAAACACACAATCGAACTACAGTTATCCAGACAGTTCGGTATTTCTAGGAATCTAGTCTGAGATCAGGCGTCAACATCATAATCTTATAAAAACAGGAATGGGAACTGAAGACTCCGATTATTGGTCAGAAAAAGAGGGTTTGAATACTATCTCTGGACCTGGGTAGAGACTTGATGTTCTAAAGAGTCAAGAGGATTATAGAATATATCCCCTCTCCCCCCTCAGCCCACCAAAGAAGACAGGGTCTCCTGTAGTTCAGGTTATCCTCATTCTCACTTTGCAGTTGAGAATGACCTTGAGCTTCTGGGTCCTCCTGCCTCCATCTCCCAGGGGCTGAGATTATAGGTGCTTGCCACCACACTGGTTTCATGTGGTTCTGGGATGGGACTGTATTAGCTTCTGGTGAGAGCTCAGAATTAAGCTGTCACTCTGGAAGCCACACTGTGGCTTCTTACAAAACTGAACCTTCTCACCCTGTGAACCGTCAGGCACCCTCCTGGACACTCACACCCAAACCTTCACATGGGTGCATAAAGCCAATTTTTCCTAAGTGGCAGAACTTTGAGGCAACCACTGTGATACACGAGACCCTCACTCTGACATGACAAAGACAGTGAAGTCGTGTATATTTTGCAAGTTTGGTAGGAACCAACATCAGCATAAAGAAAAGGCAAAAATGGCTAGCACCACTGACTTAGGGCAGAACAATAGCTTTTAACGACACTGGCTTCCAAAAGCCCTGTCTCCTTTGGCCCATAGTCTGGCGCTACGTCTCATTTAGCACAGCATCCCCCCACCCCCACCCCAGTTTCCCATCTATTGGTTCTGGATGCAAAGGTTTATCTAATATTTATCCTGAGGGTTGAAATTCCTTCCTTTTTTTTTTTATTATGGCTCAGCCATGTGCCTGGATCCCTGTAACTTTTCTTTTCTTTTTTTATTAAAGCCTACAACACCCAATATTTCCAGGTGGTCTCCCATCCAAGTACTAACCAGGCCTGACCCTACTTAGCTTCCAAGATCGGATACATTCAGGGTGGTATGGCTGTAGACCCCTGTAACTTTTCAACCCAGGATAAACTGCCATCATCTAGACAAGCTGGTACCAGTGGCCAGCTAGAGGAAACAAGGGCCTAGTGCCTCCTACGTATCTATGACTCTTTGACAAGCTCTAAACACACCCCACACTTAAAATGGAACAAAATGATTTACTTCCTACAACCATGATACCCTTTAGTAGGTAAATAGATAATTAATGGTATATTCAGATACTGGACTATTACACAGCACAAAAAAAAAGAGAAAGAAAGCAATGAAATATGAACCATCATGAGACAGAGATGTTTAAAAGCATATTACTAAGAGCAAGAAGTCCTATGGTGTAATCTCAACTCTAACATTCTGGGGAAAACCAGCTATAGAAAGGACGAAAAGATCAGAGAGTGCCAGGGGAGAGCAGCTGAGCACAAAGGATTTTTAGCTCAGTGCAACTACCCTGTGCGAGCATGGCATTAGCAATTTGGTCAAAGCCACAGAATGTACACCACCCAGAATGAACGTAACCAGCACACTGGTCTGCAGTGGATGACGTGTCAGTGTGGGTACACAGGCAATAACAACTGTGCCTGCGTGGCAGAGGATGCTGGGAGCATGGGAGGCTATGTGTGTGGGCAAGGTGTTAGGTGGGAAATCTCTGTACTTCCAACGCTATTCTCCTGTGAACCTAAAACTGTTCTGGGAAATAAATGGTTCAATTCTAGAAAAATAATTGATTGTGGGTTGTTATTTCCCTGAATGGATAAAAAGCCAGAGTTAGCTAATCCACCAGTTAGACCCTCTGTTCTCAGAGCGTAGGAGGTCTTAATGTCTTCGATACCCGCTAACACTTCCTTTTCCCACTGCCAAGAGAAGCTACTTTCCTGTTTATCAGTCCAACCTCCAACACACTTCAGCCCACTTTAACTTAACCTTTAGTCCTTTGTCCAACAGGGCCTTTTCTAGCTCTTCCTTAAAATGTGGTGTTGTTTTTTTATCACCAAAGGAAACTTGCTAGGTAGGGCCCAGCTTGGTATGTGAAGGCACAGGCATGAGTCAGCCTGTCTTAAATGTGTGCATCCTGACATACACAAGGCTGTAACTGCAGCTTAGGAGACTCACTGTAAGCAGGTTTGCTAGTGAACATGGAGAACAGATGTGAACCCGAGAGGACCAGGCACTCCCCACCTTGTTTGTGAGACACAGCCTGAGCTTGACACTCATTGTCCTGTCCCTGTGCCCTGCCATCTCCCTCCATCCTGGATATCAAAGACCTCTCACTTGCTCCCAGAGCTTTACAATCCCACTAGTCCTGGGAACCCCTGTTCCTGTCTCCCTGTCGCTGGGATTACAGGCAGCCCACCACACCCACCTGCATTTACACAAGGTGCTGGGGATCTGAACTCTGCCCCCCCCCATGCTTGTGCCGCAAGCACTTTACTGAAGAAGCCCAACGTCCCAGATAACTTTTTGTGTTTTGAGAAGGGTCTCTCACAGCATGGTCTGATCTTCAAGCTGTGATGCAGGGATTACAGGCATGCCCTGGTACACCCACCCTCATTTTTTTTAATGCTTTCTCAGGTCATTCTTATAAAAGTCCTAGGTATTTATAGTTTAACAAATAGTTAAAATGATTCTTACCTGATGTTGATCATCAGAGTTTGGTGGACAGTTGGAAGTGACTGTATCATACTCCTTAGCTGAGGTGGGGGTGGGGGACATAGGGGAGGGGAAAGAACAATACACAGCTTGGTGAAGAACGTACACACTCTGCTCTACGACCTAAAATTACAACTCAGCAGTAAGAGCTGCCTCGACATTGGTTACATTGGGATGGATTTGAACAAGGACAAGTTCAGATCCCAACTTTTCTCCACCCAGCTACATAATGTTCCTCTTGGCAGGAGTGAGCCATGTTGGTTTTGGAGAAGGAGGATTCCAGTCACTACCAGCACAAAGAATTATTCAAACGAGGCAATAGCCTTTTCAGGGAGCTGGAGACACCTCACCCTGCAGATTCCACAGAACTTGACACTTACAGCATGCACTCCAAGCGTCCCACGTTCCTAAGTGCAATCTGGTGTAGATCTATACACTGTGAGGTATCCTTGTTCTCCAGGCTATGAACATACGGGACTCTTTACTATACCCCATTTCATCTGTCCAGCCAGGAACCATCAACTTAGGGTAGTAAACCACCTTCATCAACAGGGTAGAGAGAAGGCAATCAAAACTACTTCCTGATCAATACTACCTCTTGTCACGGGATGAAAACTATTGTTGAGAGGCTAGAGAGGAGGCTTGGCAGGTTTGTCTCTGGATACCCACTTGTTGTAGGAGTCAGAGCACAGTACTCTGGCTGATGGCTGTTCGGTTTCTACGGACCAATGGGATCTTCTGGTTTGTCCAGTGCCAGTTGGCCACATGAGCCATCTGTACATGGGTCTGTTCTAGATGTGACCAGCAGCGTCACAGATGACATGCGGCTCTTATGAAGCTTACAGAACGGAAGGCGTTCTCAAGCCAGGGAGAACCCCATTTGGCACCTTGGTCAATGTCATTCAGTGAAAGGTAATGACCTGCCTGACCCTTCATGGCTGTTTCCCTCACCACAGTCTATCTTTCCTTGACCTTTAAGGGCATTGAAGTGGGCAGACGAGGCAAGCTGAGGACCCTGCGCTGATCCAAAAAGCAAAGAGGCAGAGCATTGGATACCAATGCTCTCCGAGTCAGTGAACCTGCCCTTGGCTCAGCATTGCTGCTTCCTATACCCAAAGAGCAAATCTTACCCTCGGAGGAGTTGGATGGCCCCAACCAGGCTACAAACAAGATTACTCAACTGGATGGAGGCCAGACCTGAGGAGATCCATGACTAGTCCGTGGAGGAAGGACCATCGGGAGTTTGTTTAATTTAAGCGTTCCTTACAGCAGCTACGTGCGTGCGGGTGATGCTGAGGTTGTAAAATGAACATCCCAGAGGAATGGGAGGAAGTGGCTCAGCAGCAGAGTGTTTGCCCAGCATGCACAGGGGTCTCCAGCATCACACTAAAAAAATTAAATGAACTGTGTATCCTGAGAGCTTTAGCAAAGTTCAAATTCCTTGGGCTAGGGATGTAATTTCAGCATTAAAGTACTTCTCTAGTATGCACGTATTCTCAGATTTATATATATATATAAAATAACAGACTCAATCTACCTCACTTTGTGTTTTAAAATTTTTAAAGATTTAATTTCACCAGGCGGTGGTAGCGCATGCCTTTAATCCCAGCACTTGGGAGGCAGAGGCAGGTGGATTTCTGAGTTCGAGGCCAGCCTGAAATACAGAGTGAGTTCCAGGACAGCCAGGGCTACACAGAGAAACCCTGTCTCCAAAAAAAAAAAAAAAAAAAAAAAAAGATTTTATTTCTTTTTTATATATGTGTGTGAGAAAGACTGTAAATGTGGGTGTCCCCAGAGCCCAGAAGGGGACATCAGGTCCCCTGGAGCTGAAGTTACAGACAGTTGTTAGTCACCTGATGTGGGTACTGGGAAGCAAACTCAGGTCCTCTGGAAGAGCAGCAAGCATTCTTAACCACTGAGCCATCAGCCCCTGCATCTTAAATTTACTATGACATTTTTTGAACAGTAAAAGAGAGGCACTCCAAAGAAAATGATTGAGTTTTTGGGTTTTTTTTTTGGGGGGGGCACTGGGGGTTGAACTAAGTAAGGTCCTCACACGCTTAGCAAATGCTCTACCACTGAGCTTGTCTTTAGACTCCTTTGTTTACTCTGTTTTGTGGCAGCATTTTACTAAGTTGTCCACAATAGCCTTGACCGCATTCTTTAACCTAGCCAGGTCCTGAACCCTCCATCCTCCTGACTCAGCCTTCTAAGTAACTTGTATGTAGGTCTGTACCACCAAGCCAGCCAAAGTTTCCTTGTTTTACATGAGGGCTTGTCTGTGTGAAGGTGTCTTCTGCTGTGAACACTCATTGAAAAATCAGAACTATTTTTCCCAAACACATCTGCAAATGTGACAGGAAGACATGTTCTCTTCAGGATACTCAAATTGGCAGTTTCTGTGAGGAGTCAGGAGATTCCTGATAAAAATGTAGTAAGTCCCTGTAATGTAGCTGAACGGCTTCCTTGTCAACTTGACTGAATTGTAATCTCATGGAAAAACACTTCTGAGTGTTTTCATGAGAATTTGTCTGAAAAGGTCTGAGGAGGGACGAAGGACCCTGAATGTCTGCAGCACCACCCCACAGGCTGGTGTCCTGGATGGAAACCAGAGGAGAAACAGGCTAAGTGCCAGACTTTTTCTCTCTCTGCTTCCTGACTGCAGATGCAATGTGACTAGATGTGCCACGCCCCTGTGCTATGCCTTCTCCACTGTGAATAACTGGATCCTGAAACTTTAAGCAAAATAAAGCCTTCTTTTGTCAGGGATTTGGTCTTGGCAACAAGAAAAGTAGCCAATCTGGTCCCCATCTCGTGGAAGTCAATCAGAGCTGCTCAAGAGACCCAGCAGAGTGCACCACAGAAACCCATGGACCTAGAGTCAGGGGCTGACTCTAGTGGGAGCTCTGCCTTTGTCCCTGATGAGAAAGCAGGTGTGATAAATCATACGCTGATTGCTGAAATTACCCTAGATTTCCACATGACTTACAGCTAAACCACAGCATTCAAAAGCACTCGAGCTTGGCCTGCATTAAAGAACATCTCTAAGCCACTCGAGAAGAACGTAGGCCTCTCCTGACAGGATAACAGATGTTAGGAAGCTTGCCTAACCTATTTAAGAAAATGAGTTTTGAGGCCTTTTTCAACCGTAGGGAAATTGTTAAAGCTAATTACCCATGGCTCCAGTATTAAGTAAACTAGACACCCCCAATTTACAGGCATGCCAGAATCCTAGCTGATACTAAATGTAATTAGATTGCTGTTTAGATTATTTTTAAGTCCACAAATTAGACTCTTAAATTATTTCATATGGATTTTATATTTCTAAAAATAACTCTCTTTCTAAAAAAAATATTTGTTTGTTGATTTACTTATTTATTTGTGGAAGCCCAAGGTCAACGTGAGGTGTCTTTGTTCTACTTTATTGCTCTTGAGGCAGTGTCTCTCACTGGAGCTCAGTGTTTCAACAAGGCTGGCTGGCCATCGAGCTCTGGGGACCCTCTTCACTCCACCAGTTAGGATTAGGTTTGCAGGTTCAAATCCCTACACCTGTCTTTCATGAGTGCCGGGGATCCGAACTCTGGTCCTCATACTTGCTCAGCAGGCACTTTGTGCACGGAACCTTCTCCTCAACCCCTTTATCAGCTCTTTTAGTCAGCATACAGTGTAGCGGACATCACTGTGGCACATGTTCATGCATACCCGCCCTCATCCTTTGTTCTACATAGCGTCATCCTACTTCCTTCCTACTCCCCCTCAGGCTGTCCTCTACCCCCCTCTCTTCAAAAAAACAAATTCTGTGAGATATCTAGTAGAAACTTCTAATGATGGTATTGTCCTCATTCAAGAAGATGAAGAAAAACACTAGCAGACAGTAAATTGCCTTAATTGAATTGAAACTTTAATAAAACTTCTAACCACCGGGCGGTGGTGGCGCACGCCTTTAATCCCAGCACTTGGGAGGCAGCGGCAGGCGGATTTCAGAGTTCAAGGCCAGCCTGGTCTACAGAGTAAGTCTACAGGACAGCCCAGGCTACACAGAGAAACCCTGTCTTGAAAAAAAAAAGAAAACCACTTCTAACCAAGATTCATTTACCTACAAAATGATGCGCTTATTTGGAGTATTTAAAAATTATGCACTTTGGGCTGGAGAGATGGCTCTTCCAGAGGTCCTGAGTTCAAATCCCAGCAACCACATGGTGACTCACAACCATCCGTAATGAGATTGGATGCCCTCTTCTGGTGTGTCTGAAGACAGCTACAGTGTACTCATAAATAAAATAAATACATCTTTAAAAAAATTATGCACTTTGTATTATTTCTGGTGACAAAGGACAAAGGGAAGGTCTGTTGAATGTTTTCAAAGTCATACTTCCTGGAAAGGCACGAGAGCTCTGATAAAAGTTGTATAAAGCTCAGATTTGAGGAGAAACCTGACCATATTTCAAGTGTAGGATCGGGTTGCTAAGCAGTGGTCTTTTCCTTTCAAAACAGGAAATCACATTCAAGGGCAAAGAAGAAAAGATCTTTATAACATGGATCCAAGTGTACCCTCTAGGCGATTCTGCTTGACAATCCTTAAACTGATTTCTGGGGGTGGTTGGCCAGCCTTCCCTTGATCCCTTGATTCCTGTCTGGTGCTCATGCTTCTTAGAACAGGATCCAGAACCTGGATCTCCTTTGTTGAATTCTCCTTTTAAAAATATGTGTGTGTGTGTGTGTGTGTGTGTGTGCACGTGCATGCACATGTGCTGGGTGGGCTCTAGACTGGCTGGCCAGTAAGACCAAAAAGATATGCCTGTCTGACTTCCTCAGCACTGGTATACAGCATATGACACCACATTCAACTCTTCGGAGGAAAAAAAAAGCATTTAGCTATGTATGTATGTATGTATGTATCTATCTATCTATCTATCTATCTATCTATCTATCTACCTATCTGCCTATCTACCTATCTGCCTATCTATCTATCTATATCTATCTATCTATATAGGGCGTGAGTGTCACAGGTATGTGTGGGGTGTGGGGAGGAGGTTAGTAAAATACATGTGATGTGAAATTGAGAAGGAATATCTGGGGAGGGGGAGCCAAATTAGCTATAGGAAGCTTGGGGTGAGACAGCAAGGGAGGAGAAAAATTACACTAAAATATAATGACACATTATACTTTCTAGGTAGGACAGGTTACCTGTGGAGAGGGTTCGGGGCAAGGGAGATTGCTGGAAACCTGCCAAACACAGTCATGGTTTGCGCTCAAGCCAGGCTTTGGCCTCTCCTCCATTCCTACAGTCACTTAGAAAAGGGCTGACACATAAATGGTATCACACCACAGGACAGGAGAGTCTGAGGCCAGGGAGGGGAGAGAACAGTGCCTTGTCTGAAACCTGGACTTTTCTATTGGTGGCCCTGGTGGGGAGCTCTCCCCTGTTCTCACTACCAGAGATATACCAGAAAGCCCACCTGGGCAGGGGTTCCATAGGCCACCTCTGCACAGAGAGCAAGCAGCCAGGTGCTCTGCCATCTCTGGAGCTGGGATGATCTGATTGGCTTTGCAATTACCCTGTGAGGCTGGGCCGCAAAAGGCTAGGGTCTGGCCACTTTCTGATCCTTAGCATGTTTGAATTTGAGGCTGTGGATTACAAAAGATAACTTTGGGGGTGACCTTTGAGCCTGACAAGCAAGAATCTCTCCTCCTTCTCCTCTTCTTTCTCTTCCTCCTCTTCCTTTTCTTCCTCCTCCTCCTCAATTACAAAAGATAACTTTGGGGGTGACTTTTGGCCACAGAACATTACTGGGGTTTCACTGGAATCTACTGCAAGTCTTCCCCAGTTGGAACTTGAGCTAACTCACATTCTCTTTCCTCCTCCTCTTCCTTCTCCCTTCCTCTTTTCTTCCCCCTCCCCCTCTTCTTTCTTCTCCCTCTCCCTCTCCCCCTCCCCCTCCCTCTCCCCCTCCCCCTCCCCCTCCTCCTCTTCCTCCTCCTCCTCTTCTTCTTCTTTGAGGCAGGGTTTCTCTATGTAGCCCTGGTTATCCTGGAACTCACTCTGTAGATCATGATAGCCTTGAACTTACAGAGATCTGCCTGCCTTTACCTCCTAAGGGCTGGGATTAAAGATGGGTACCACCACCACCCTGCTTCCCTATCTTCCTGATGGCAGCCATTGACTCAGAGATGGGAATATGACCCACACTGCCTGCATCATGATTCTGCGGAAGCTCCCTGCCCACCACCATCTTGAACAGCATGATGGTGTGCTGGTGATGCTGAGGTCCTCTTTCTTTCCTCAGCAGGAAACAAGAACAAGGCAGCAGTCACTAGGCCAAGGAGCTCCTGTAAATGTGTGACTCCAGAAGCCCCTTGAGACTCCTGAACTAAAAAGTCTTT